CCATACATTTTCAAAAAGTCATATAAAAGGCTTTAGTAAAATAAAATTGCTGTTAAACATTTAAATTTAAAAAATGTTGAACACTTTTTGACCTAATACGGTATTTAAAAAAAACTTATTTAAATTCAATTTATTCCGAGTTTAGTTACCGCCTAATGGTTTCATAACGATAACATTTCCCATTGTTTTTCATTGGGACCAATTCCCAGTTTTGTGGGATATTTCGTGTTCGACTTCGAAATGGTCGCAAAAGCTTCGATTCAGGAATACCTCTCTCTGTCTCTGTTTTGGTTATGCTCTGCTTGCTCCCTTTATGCCAGCGCTCTCTTGGCCGCACTTTTCCCACTGACCTACAACGGCAGTTCTGGTAACAGCCCATGTCCAAAGCCCAGAGCCCACAGCCCGATTCTCGACTCTCAATTCTCAATTCACGATTCCAAGTCGCGTCTGGATTCGAGTCGAGTTACATACTTCTACTCCAGTAAATGTTGTGATAGGTTGCGGGCTGCTTTTGTGCTCCGGACACGCAGCTGCACTTTGGGCCAAGTAGACACGAATACGAATAGACCAAGTGGGTCGTGGCTCAGAATGTTTGCAATGAGTTGGCAAAGTGATTGCCGAAATTCGATGGAACTGCGATTTTCATGCAATTATACATACACATACATAAACATGCGTATTCCAACTTTAATTGGAATTAAATCAAGTTTGGGGATTTTGCTTCGATTAATTGATTGTTGAATGTGTACAAAATGCATTTTTAATGTCTTAAAAAACATGAGCATTAAAAAACGAATGGTTATTAATTTAATTTATTTTGTTAATATATTTTAGGAATTGTATTAATTGGTCTTCAATAAATATATAATAAATTGATTTTCTTATTAAATACTAAATTATGATTATTATATCATAATCTGCCTTTGTTTGATTCTTAAAAATTCGGAATTTACATTTAAACTATATTTATGATTTTCTCGAATAGAACAAATATTTTTTCCACTTTTTATAAAGTACCAATCCCACTCTGAAGTAGATACATTTTTTAACAAATCATTTGGGATACCTGATAAGAAAGTACATGAATATTTGGGTCTCTTCCGATTTCACACCAACTTTTTGTCACCTACAAAAATCCTTGTGTCCCAGCATGGAAATAAAATAATTCAAACGACTGGGGAAAAAGTGAAAAGCTCATTAAACACTTGCCGAATCACACTTATGCCCCATTAGAGCACTAAATAAGCGAAAAATGGTTCAGAAAGCAGAAAACTGGGGGCGACATCAGGGTGAGGGGTTATGTCCACCCGGAGACCCACAGACCCGGACTCGGACCCGCAATGCCAAGCCCAAGCCCAATCCCAATCCCGATCCCAGGGCGACCAGACTAGACCCGAACTTTGAACCCAACAAATAACCCGCGGCGCGGCTACTCTGGCAGATGGAAATGAGGCGAACGATGGGGAGTTTGGGAGTATGGTAGGGGCTTAATGCCAAGGCTGACAAACTAACTCGGCTACTTTAACCCCTGCTGACCAATAAAGCCGCTTGTGTGATGTACGGCAACAATGAAAAAGTTTAGCCAGCAACACATGTTCAAACCGAAACAGGGAACACAAAACACCAAACACCAAACACCGAATCCGAATCCAGTGGCACAAGCTGAAATAAAATTAAGCACATTAAAAAATGCTTCACAAATTTACAAATCTCTGGAAGAGATAAAACGCTCGATTAACAAGGGGAAATGAATGAAATGAAAAACGGGAGTGTATAGACCAGAAAAAGGTCAGCGGCGGCAAAATGTTTTGTGAAAAATGAGGCGGCACGAAAGGTTTACGCCCTCTTTGCTGCCCCAACCTCGTTTTCAGATGCACATATTAGATTAGACTCGGTTAAATCTGTTCTGTTACGATCTCATTACTCTCAAAACTTTAGTTTCGTTTCCCCGGCATACTGCTAATAGTTTTGGCCTCAACAACCCAGTTCTTACCACACAAGCATCTCGCCCGCTTTTGCATACCGACTATATATGTCGGTATATTTGTATAAAAACAACTTAATTAAGGACTTCATTAACTCTGGCCCTTGTTTGGTCAGCTACAGATGTGCTTTAAATAACAGAGGTATTTGCTTGCCTTTAAAAAATGCCTAAGGAAAATCGAAAAGATCTTAAAGTTTAAAACTACTTATTAAAATAATTCATTATTATTATACTGGAAAAAAAAATTTTAACTAGCATTTAATAAATTAATCAAGCTTTAATTTAAAATTAAAATAGGTGCCTAAAAGTATGCAACAATACATTTTAAATTCAAAAGTGCAGGAATTCATGCTGAAAGTCGACTATCATTTATTCATTGCATACTTTTAGACACTTGTCTTTACTTTTAAAGGTGTTTTTAAAACCCTTATGACATCTGTGGCACCCCGTACTAATTATTAAATAAAACAGTTGCCAGTTAAATATAAAAAGATAAAATGTCAACCAGAGAAGTAAATAGCTTCGCAAAAGGGAACCCCAAACCGCCAATCACTCAAGAGACGAGCTGAAACAAAATCATTTCCTCCGCACCGGAAAAAGTCGCGGGAAAATCGTATTGCCTACCCACATCAACCGAGAGCCCTTAATCCTCCCCTGTTCCCTGTGCACACAAATTATGCGTAATAATTTTATTTGCATGTTTTATTTAATTTTTCATGCCACTCTGATTACGAAATTGAATTGGCAGCTTAGTTTTATGCGCTCGGCTACTTGGAAGGGAGGAAAGGAAGGGAAAGCGAAGGCGAGATTTCCATGGCCAGGTGGGTGACTCTCATCCGCCCTCTGTTGTCATACAATTAGCAAGGTCGGATGGATATAGCCACCCAACTCCAGCACCCAACCAAAATCCAGCAACTTTCTAATGATGTTCGTCCGAATTTTCTCTCTGGTCTCTCATCTTCAGTTTCATTTGCTTTGACGTCGACATCGTTTCATTTTACTGATTTTCTTTGTTGCTGCTGCTGTGTAGCTGCTGATTTTGTTGTTTCTCTGCCCTTCTTCAGTCACCCAAAAATTTCAAGCTGAATCATTACCAAGGAGAAAATTGTGGGCCGAGTTGGGGGAAGACATCCTCGTCCTCCTTCCTCGGGCTGGCAACTTAAATGCGCTTAAAATTAAATCTGATTTCATGAATATTGATTGATTGCTTTTACCTTGAATGAAAATCCGCTTCCGTGCTGCTTTTTCTTCGAGCTGTTTTTTTTTCTTTTGCCTTCTCTTCTTACCTGGCCGCACTTCCTGTTTCCCGGTCTTCTATCTCGGTATTGTTTGGCCTGAATTTCCCACCCCACTTTCTTTCCTTTTTTGGTAAGTTAAATTAATGAGCTTGAGATGCTACCTCACAGCAGCTTTCGATTTTTTCCGCATTACGTAAAATAATTTGACCAAAAATAAGTTGGTTTAATTGAGTGTGAGGCTGACTTGTATATGAAACGGTTTTCATAACTTTTAAAGATATAAAAAGGATTATGGAAGCCCCTTGAAGAGTTTAATATATTTTTTAAAAACCTCTTTTCTGTTTTTCTATTAGCTTTAAGGTAGAAAATCGAAAGATTTTAAGGGATTTGGAAAAAACTTTTAATGGCTCGAAATACAATCACTTATTACTTTATTTTAATTAAGATAAGCATATGCATTTAGGTTAAAGGACCTTCAGGATTTCCCTCTTTGAGTCTGGCGATTTTCCCAATCAGCCGCAGACAGTAGAAGAAATTGATGGGGAAAAACTTGTAACCAATATACGGAAATAGCAAAAAAACAAGGGAAACGAATTTCCTGTTGAAAAACAATAATAAAAACAAAGGAAGGACGAACCGCAAACAGACAGAGAAACACATGCAAACAAGCTTAGAATGAGACGGAGAACGAGACTAAGGAGAAGAAATGACAAATTCTCGTTGAAGGGAAACAGCTGGAAAACGCACTCGGAAGGTCCTTTTATTTTCATTCCCCTATTTTCCTTTTTTCTTTTTTCCCTTTTATATTAAAATTTGATTTCTTTTGGTTCCAGCAGCTGGCATAGGTTCGATGGATGCGAAGGAGGAGGAGGGGGTACCAAATATTTTAGTTGTCTGTGGAAATCAAATTTTCTCTTTCTTTTTATACCCTTGTAGAGGGTATTATAATTTCAGTCAGATGTTTGCAACGCAGTGAAGGAGACGTTTCCGACCACATAAAGTATATATATTCTTGATCAGCACCAACAGCCGAGTCTGTCTAGCCATGTCCGTCTGTCCGTCTGTCCGTCTGTCCGTCTGTCTGTCTGTCCGTCTGTCCGTCTGTCCGTCTGTCCGTTTCTATGCGAACTAGTCTCTCAGTTTTAAAGCTATCGCGATGAAACTTTTCCGATAGTTTTCTTTCTATTGCAGGTAGTACATATGTCGAAGCGAGCGTGATCGGACCACTATATCTTAAGGCTTCCATAGGAATATTCAAACAAATATAAGAAAATTCATTGTAACTTTGTAGGAAGTAGGCGTTTTGATTCTTGACTACTTAAAAACAAAATTGAAATAGAAACGCTGAATCTGGAATCCCTGGAACTGCACCGAGTGAGCATTACTTTATCTGCAAGGGTATATAAGCTTCGGCTGGCCGAAGGTAGCTTCCTTTCTTGTTTACAGATTTTTTTCTTTTTTTTTATTTTGTTATGCCCCGATTTTCTTTTCGGCTGTCCTTTTGCGGTGACTGTGTGAGTGTGTTTGTTGCTGTCAGTTTCAGTTCCGCTTTCGGGGGATGCCAACTTTTGACTTCCTGTCAATGGTGACAGCTGCAGCGGTCTAGCGGTCCTCTCCACCCATCACTCTCTCCGTTTCTTCGACTTTTCTAGACCTTGCTTAGACTTTCTCCAATCGAGTTTCAGATTTGGTCCGTTTTCTTAAGCGTTGGTTAAGTTTAAGAACTCCATTAAAACGAAAGTTATTATTTTGTTTACACAGATTTAACGTATTTATTGTTACTGCATCCTAAGATTTGGTTTTAAGGTTTCTCCTGTATTATCAGGACTATTATTAAAATACGCTGAGGGTCTTAAGTTATTATAATGTTGAACACTTTTTCCTACATTTTGAAATCCATTACTGTTACCCAAGTTAAGACTGGGATTGTGATTATAATTATGATTTTGAATATGATGATTATGATTATTTTGCGTATTAGTCATTGGAGGATTAGCGATAAAAGTTTTTCCCGAATTACTGTGATGGTGACCACTACCCGATGCAGTTTGTCCGACATTATACAATGGAAAATTCTTTCCCATGTTATTTGTACTGTGTGTTGCAGTTTTTCCATCGGAATTATTGGGAGCTTGATTATTTGTAGTGAATGTTTTTCCACTCGCAGTATTGGGCGTCTGAGTATTAGTTATAGAAACTTTACCACCGGAAATATTGGGTGTCTGACTATTTGTTGTATACGTTTTTCCACCTGTATTACTGGGAGGCTCACTGGTAATTCCACCTTGTTCATATGGACCGGCCACAAATTGTCCTCCAGTGTAACGCTTTCCAAAAACGACCTGTAAGTTATTAGCATTTCTAGAATGATCTTTTTAAAAATTGTTATATACTTTGAACTTACCTTATTGACATCGCAGCAAGTCTCGAATGAGAAGCACTGCCTATTATAGTAGGCAGCTGAATTCGTTTGTACGCTGCGACCATCGGAACAAAATTGCGTTGGTACACAGGCATACTTCTTATTCGGTCCACAAGATCCTCCAGCATCGCTGGAACTAAAAAGAACACAGCTCACAAGAAGCACTTTCAGTTTCCAGTAGAGTGACATGGTGTACTGAGGGCTCAAAACTGAGACTGGCTTGCAAATCACGCCTTTATATCGCTGAAAGCGTTATCTCTTCTCAGAAGTTTGTGCTACGGGTCTTATCGGTTTGCAAATACAGAGCTTGCATTCCAACAAAGTGCATATATATTTTTAATCAAAAGTCGAGTCAATTTTCTCTTGACCTCAGAAACCATTATGGCATATTTTTTTAAAAGATTACATTTCGTCTAAACTCTTAATAGGAGACTTAAATGAATTGATGAATATTATTAATAACTTTTATACAGTCTTAAATTACATTTTGTTTTAAACACTTTTCAAGTATGATTAATATTAAATTACGTAAAAATTGTGTTTTAAAATTTAAGATTAGTTAGTTTGTTAATGGAAATTGGTTGTTCAGGAGAAAGAAAACATGAATTTTTCTTTTTGTATAAACTATGCTTCTATGAACTTAGAAAAGTTAAGGGCATCCAGTCACTATTCCATATTTTTGTGACCCAAAAAAACGGCTTTCTAAGGAACCTTCGTTAACCCAGATTGTACGACGACGGCATTTCCATGGAGAGTGCATTGAAAGCGAGAGTTTGAAGTGTCGGTTAGTTAGGGATGGAATGGAATGGAATGGAACCGGCCTGAATAGGAAGGCTACGAAAGAGCAATGCATACTGGCCACAAAAGTACGGGATACTCAGGCGGCGCACTTTAAACAAAGACTCGCATTGTTAGAAAGGAACAGAAAGATGGTAACGATAATTTTAGAATTTAGACTGAAAAATTTGTATATATATATTTTTTAATTAAAAAATATTTTGTTCCCAAATTTAGGATTGAGCTTCGCATCTGTGCTTGCCTACCTAATTACATAAAGTTTATCAATGTCAAATAACATATCTAATGTCAATTCAATAACTCTTCAATAGAAAAGTTATATTTTTATTTCTTGCATTCGAAAATTCATGAAATTCATAGCATAAACATAGTAAAAGTATATGTAAGGACACTCTCAATTTATTTTCCAGTTTTGTCAGATTTTTCATATTTTTCTCCGTGCTGGCCTGGGCGAAAATACAATTTCCGTGTAAGTTGAAAAACAAACAAGAGTCTCTCGTCTGCCAATTTTTAACGTTCTGCCAGACTTAACCCAAAACAGAGAGAGTCGCTCTGTCTTCCTCGTTCTTTCCCGTTGAAGCAAAAGTAAATTTCCACTTGCAGTCAATAATCAACTAAGCATAAAATAGTATTTGAACTATTGAAGCAGCAAAAATGTGCTGCTTCTTGTGCCCGATTCGACGAGGAGCAGAAATATGGGGAAGCAAAATGGGAATCCGCTTTAACTTGAGCATGGACTCTGCCAAAGTCGGGGAATCAAAAACTTTGTATTTCTTTTTATGTGCGTTTGGCTTTTGCTATATGTACAGCCGGTAATACGTATACTTGATATTCTGCACATGCTCGCACTCAATTGAAGTTAAATTATTTTCCTGGCAAATTTCTATTTGTTACGCACAGGTGTATACACCAATAGGTAAAAATAATCGGACAGGCTGAAGGCAAAAATATTCTGGGTAGAAAAGTGGTAAGTGGTCGAGTGGAAGAGGGGAAGCTGTGACCTGTGGGCAAAAGATTTCTAGCTAATTTGCGGCAATAACATCAAAGCTGCTTTCTGGCCTTTTCAGTTACCCTTTTTTCATCCCTTAGCCAATTGGCCTTGTAGGCCTTTTTTTGGGTTGTCCGGGCATTGAGTTGATGGTGTGGTGGGCACATCCGTTGGTTAAATGCTGCGTTAAACATTTTTTAGGCCACTCGAGACGAGACGGCTTTAAAGTGACTTAATTTTAAGAATACCGAAAAGGGTTTAAAAACCCGAGAACGGTTTAAATTATTGAAATAATAATAATAGGCTACTTAAATGTCAAAAATTAAATACAATTTGAATATTAAAATTTAAGACAAAGATATGCAAATTCTGCTTAAAGTTATATATTAATTAAAAATTTCAAATATACAGTCATAGAAGATTTGATCAACACGGTTTAGTAACACATTTTTAATATTTTTCCTCGCACCAACGCCTTGAAATATTTTTTCTTATTATATTTTTTTCGTCTGAGAAGTTATAACCAAACCCTCACATCAGATTGTTTCCAACTTCAATTATTTGTTTATAACTTTTTTGCGTACTTTTTTGGGCTCTCTGTTCTATAAAACAAAAAGTAAAGTATTTACAATTTGCGAGTTTGTTTGTCAGATGCAAATCGTTTACTTGTACTCAAAATTTAAATTGCACTGAAGTCTAAACCAAAAAAATACTATGGAGTGAACAAGATAATTTGAAAAACAGCACTCAAGAATTTAATATATAAAAATTTAAAAAAAGGGTATTTGTATGTCTGTTGCCTTTTATATGCAATTTTAAATGAGTGACCTTCATAATTTTGTACATTGCAATATGGGGACTGAGCATGTCAATCATATACACACAAACATATTTTTTTCAGCTCGAAAATTGACAAGACTTTCTCGTCGAGTTCGACGAGTTTTCCAAATATTTTGACAGGCTGTTATCAAAATTGCTCATTAAATGAATGAAAAATGGGGGGAAGGGGCCTAAAAATGACGAAAACGAAATAGGACGGAAAATGGCAAAGGATCATCGAACGCGGGCAAACAGCATGCAGAATGCACCAAATCCAAAAATCAATGAAATGTAATGGAAATGCAATAAAAACAGAAAAAGTATTTGCGATTGGCATGGCCCAATCTAAATATCTACATCTGCACATATAGTTCCATCGAACTATGTGTGATAATTCATTAGTGGGTTCAACGGGCCGTAAAATTGAATTATGCTTTTGTTGATGATTTCATTTCGTTTTAGCCGTTTCTCAATTTTCATTCACCGATTTCCATTTCGGCGCTCAACGAAAAGTTGCGTGTAATTAGAAATTCGCTTTTTCGGTCAAATTTACGAAAACATTTCCTTTGGCTATCGGTGGGAATTAATTTATTATTGTGTCTAAAGCGCTATGGGAAATACGAGGTAAATGTGATATTTTCGTAAAATATTTTGCAATTAATGTATTCAGAATCTCTTTATACAACTAAAAAGATACATATGTTCATATATATTTTTTTAAGAGTTTAGAGTCTTTAAAAAAGTAGATTTATCTATTTCAAAAATGGAATGGAGATTCCTTTTACATGCATGGGCTCAAATTGCCGTAATACAATTTTACTGTAACGGATGATTTAGCAGCCGTAATTCCTAAGTCTATAAATCTAGCTAAACACATTACTCACCAATTGGTTAGCCGCTGACTAACAAATAACAGCGAAGACGGTATTTATACCAACCAAGGCTAATGACACCCCAGAGAGAGTTAGATATCAGCCCCTACCCACCGATTTTTCCCTGCAAGGTAAGCTTAATACCCCTAGTTGTGTCCATGAAAACATTTTTGTTTACCGGTCTGTCGATGGCAAGACAAAGCCAAATGGCGCAGCCTCAAGTCCGCCAAAGGAGCAACTCGACTCCATTGGTCTCGTTCTCGATTCAATTGGGTTCCGGTCAGATACAGATACAGCTACAGATGCGGACACAGAGCCATAGCCAAGGCTAAAGCTAGAGCCAGATCCAGGGCGAAACTCGTTTGCAGGCCGAGCGATTTAGGGGATTTTCACGTTAAGCGTTGGCTGTCAGCGATTGGCAAGCGGCTTACAGGTGGTCCACCTCGCCCTTGGTTGGATTCTATTCAGGTCTGTTCTGTTCTGGACCAGGTTTTCAGGTTCCCGACCTGGTTTATGGGCTTAGGCAGGAAATGGCCGTAACTAAATGAATACTGGACCAGAACGGAATATCAAAGCAATTGATATGTCTGGAGGATTTTATTGCACGCATTTGTTTTGGATTATAAAAGAGTGCTTAATCAAAAGACTTACATTTCTTACGTATTTTAGAATTTTATATTCTACATTCGTTTGATTTCATAATATAATCATAAATATTGGTAAGTAATTCATAATAGTCTAGAAATATATTTATGGCATTTCCCTATATCGGTAGTTACGCCTTTCATGTAGTATTGCTCTTAAATAACACACAAAAGCCCAGAAAAATCAACTAAAAATGGCTTAGGGGCTTTATCGACACAAACTCATCTCCGTTTCGGTTTATTTGGAATATTGAATACAGCCGCCTTGAGGGTGCAAAATGTCAATCAATTCTGTCGTTAAAAATGAACAGCCCGGAATGGGAGAAAAATGATATACAATCTATTATATACTGTGGCGAAGTCGAACAAAATGCCAACTGACCTTCAGTCAAAAGTTAACCCTTTCGTAAATTTGCATATAAAGAGGGACGCGTGGAGTGAGAACGGGCTGTTAAAAGACGCTTTACGTTGTCAAGAAAATGTGAGGAGGAGGATACTTTATCCCGATTGTCATCTGGTGGCCATTGACTTGGGTGGAGGTGGGTGTTTGCATATGGGGACTACACACATTTATCAAGCATTATCTGTTTTCGCCCGTCTCCTTTTTTTATTTTCTTTATTTATATATTTTTTTTTCTTTTGCGGCTGCCGAAGAGATAACAGCTGCACTCAATTTGCATAACACACGCTTTGGGTGGGAAAAAGTGTGAAAGCGAAAATGTTCAAATTTATACACTCGAATGTGCGATGAATTCTGCACACGGACATACAAAGCAATATAAATTATGAAACTTTTTTGAAAATCAGTTTGTAAAGTTGTCACAGGTTATCTGTGAATCGGATATTTATTCTTTGTCAAAGTCTGCCGCTGTCAACATATTGAAATATTAAACAGAATTGAATGTGATGGAGGTGGGTTGTATATGAAGTTTGTGGGAAGGTGAAAAGTTTTTGATAGAAAATTAATAATATTATGTTCCCATTTCGTTGTGCTTTTGATTTGAGTTTTTAATATAGCTTTCTTATTTTGATGGAACGGTTTATGGTTTCAGCTAGTTTTTTCATACTTTA